TGGGATGCAGGACATGACTTGGTTGAAGAATTAAAGTTTCCTCTTTAAGGTTCAAGTCTTGCTTCTGTTTCCCCTGCTAGTTGCCTCCCCCTGCCACCCTCCTTGGTTTCTCAATTTCCCTTCAAAGGAAAACCCAACAACCACGGGTCACAGGCAAGCTGCTATGGAACAAACCACGAGAATGCACTTTAGTGACTGGGGGGGTCCCTCTTGAACCCAGAAGTTTATTAGCATTCAGCAAAAGAAATATATGTTGTTACAAACAGGCAGTGCATCGAGATATCCAGATGTCAGTGAGAGCCAGGAGTGAAGAAGTCATAACCCAGGCAATTCTGTGATGTCTCAGGGATGGGGAAGGGGAAGGTCAGGCATAGCCAGAGTCCATGCTCCCCTTTCTGCACTGGGAGAGAAAGAACTCTCACACCTGGGGTGGGGATGTGCTGCAGTTCCTAATTTCTTCCCTCCTTACCCCAGCCATTTTATTTAACATGACCTAAATATACACTCCTGTTTTATCCCCCCTACCCCCAGCCCATATACAGCAGGGAAAATAAGCACCAATAGTAACAAGAATAACAATTAAAGCCCCACCTCTCAATATACCCAACCCTCACACATATACATGCCACACAGATTTTCTTCTTTGGAGTGACTATAGGATGGAAAAGTAGAGATCAGGCCAGCAAGCCATCACCCTGGCAGTCACTGTTCCCCAAAGTACCATCGACGCGTGAGTTGGAGCAAGGCGGGGAAGGGGAATGATGGTAGGAGAAGAGATTCCCCCAAAGCAGCAAGAGAGGTGAAGGAATTCCCCAAAGTCTCTTCTGGGCAGATGTCACAATCAACTGAGCTCCTGGAAAGTTCCATGCAAGGGTTTCCTCAAAGAGATGGTTAATTCCTGATGGTTCAAGCATCATTGCCATCTGTTTCCCCCAGCTTCTTGGGGAAAGGGGACGTGGCTGAAACCCCTGCCCTTCTCAGTGGGTGGAGAATGTCCCTAAAATGCTCCTTTGGAGAAACACAACATGACAAATAGCACAACATGGGCACTCTGGTTTCAAAACAAAAGCACAAAACATAAAGAGGAAAAAGAAAAAAGAGACATGAGTACTCTCAAAAGGTCTACACATGGGGAAGGGGGGTATAAAAGAAAAAATACATAAAATAAAGCCAGAAAATGACATACTGTCTACCAGGTTCCACACACCAGAGTCACCTGGCATTTGCCTTCGGTACCTGGGCATCTTCTGCTGTCCCAATCATGGGGGGAGAGAAAAGACAGTGCAATACAGCAGAGGTGGGGAAAGAAGAAAGAGGGAGGGCCCTAGGCAGTTGAGATGCCAGCCCTCTGCACAAGCAGCAATGATTTTTGTGTCATCTTTGTTTTGCTTAAAACTGTAAACAGCACCACTTAAAAATAAATCAGAAAAGAACAATTGATAAACATTGTTTTCCATGAATATAAAATGCAAACAATACAAAAATAGATAATTGGCTTTTGATATATATATATTAAAAACAACTTGAATGCAACATACACATGGGTAAACTTGAAGACTCCCTGCTAAATTCCCCATGCCTCCCTCTAGCAACTGAGCCTGGGGGCTGAGGGCAGGTGGGGTAGTGGCACTGGCACAGGTGGGAAAGTTGCTGGCAACAGGATGAGGGGCACACACCCAGCCTCCTGCGTGTCAGAAACTACTTCCCTCCTTGGCACAGCACTGAGGAGGGAGGGACAATGGTGTTTATTGAAGCCTTTATCCCAGAAGGCTTATAGCCTGGTACCTAAGCTGAGGCCAGATGGCAGGGCTGGCTCTAACTGGACCTCAAGGCAGGGCTTCCCTGGAGACTCTAAAGCACCAAGAAACTGGCATCCCGGGCCTTGGAGAAGCCTGCTAGGTGGCCTTCTCTATCCACATTCACTGGTGCCACAAGGGCCAGTCTCATCTGGGAATTGTCAGATCAGAGCTGTCTGGCACAAGACAGGCTTACTGGGTAGCAAGATGAGGGCAGCTACGTCCTCTCAAGTCACATCTTCCCTTGAAGTAACATCCAAAAGCATTGTCTCAGGACCTAGCAATAAAGTCATGGTGTTCAAATGGTCACAGCCTAGAAGGGGTGGACATGACAGTGACAATTTTAGTAGTCTGGGGCATATTTGGTGCCAGCCAAACCAGCACTGGCCTGTGTTTGGGGAGAGGCCTGGAGCTTGGCTGGCTCTCCCAGTGTCACTCTGTGCTGCCCTCACCATGTATCCCCAGCCAGGTCTTCCTTCCTCTTGTAGGCTGCAGCTGGGGGTTAGCCCAGAAACTGCTCAGCTCTAGGGACTCAAAGAAGCCTCCTGTAGCCGTGTATCTCTATTGCCTCACTTCTGGTGGTGAGGATCCTGTCCCTGGGCTGGCCGGGGCAGTGAAGGGACTTGCAAGCAGCAATGCTGTCCAAACCATGAACTCCCGCTCAGTGCAAGGCCCTTATTCTGTGGTGTGTGACCTTCCAAAGCCCAGTGAAGTGTGTCAGGGCTATGACAGCTCCCCTCAGAGGCAGTACCTCATGGTGCCCTCATTACTCTGCTCTGAGGGCAGCTCTCAGCCCTTGGCCAAAAGTTGACCACCTCCTTTTCCTCTTCCCAGATAGGCTCTGGAGGCTGGTGATGGCTCTATTGCCTACTGTGGCTGGCATAGTCCACATGCAGATAGGAGCTCGAGCTTCCTGAAGGAAGAGGCAAAAGGTGGGTTTTCCCCTATTGTAAAGGCATTTGGTGAGTGTTTACTTCCTGCCAAGCAGCCAGGCCAATTTCAGCCCCACCATTCCAGAGCAGCTTTGTAAGAGCCCAGATGGTTGGAATTTGGGCACTCCTCTCCTGGAATGCAGTGCTTGAGGTAAGGAGGGCCTCCCTCACCCTCTTTCATTCTCTAGCTCCACAATGGATGCATTTCTTCATGATGTAGCCAAAGTCAGCCTGGAGAGCTGGTCTGGGTCCCTTGAAGAGTGATATTGGTGCCATGCAAACTCATGTGGTGCTTCCAGAAGTGCAGCTTCTACCAGCCAGGTCTGCTCTTTGTGAAGAATGGCACTGGGCCAACCCCAATCTGAGAAATGATGAGAAAGACCAGCAAGGACACATCCCCTGGCCAAGGAACAGTTTGCCCACAAGGTTACCTTGACTCAGGGGGCCAACAGCATCTGTTCCCAGGCTAAATTGCCATATCTTGGAAATGGCAAGAGCCCTGTTGACTTCTTCTCTCAACAGGCATGGAGATGGGGGAGGGGAAGGGTGAGCAAGAATCATAATTTGGGTCAACACATCCAGGCAAAAAATGTTCCATATGCCATTTCCAATAAAGAAATTTAAGAGGAATCCTCTTGTGCAGGTAATTAATAAGAGGTTGAGACTGGCAAGATTAGCCTGTTGTAATGCCTTCCTGACAACAAGCTCTTCCCCACCAGTATTTCCAACCTAGTTTAACACGAAAACTGCACGGATGCAGAAGGGAGGGTGCCATTCATTCCATAAAGGGCTACAACTGCCATGCAAATCAGAGTCCTGCAGCTTGGCAGAGTGAGGGCAAGTCACAGTCTTTCCTCTGAAGAAGGCTGGTCCTTTGATGATGCTAAGGAATTGGCTAATTGGAAGATGAAAGGTCTTTAGAGAGCCCCAGACAGCAGCTGAGATGCCTTTGGTATCCTGTCTTGGGACTGCAGGCCTGGAGCCTCTTTACAGCATCCAAATGATGGAGTAAACAAGGCTTAAGGAACTTTTTGCATTGGGGAGGTTGGGTTGGAAGCAGTTTTCCCTTCTAAGAAGCTGGGTTGCCTCAAGCTCCACAAAGTCTGAAATCCCTTCTCTTGCTGGCTGGGATAAATGGCCCTTATTTCTATCCTTCTTTTGCACCCTGCAAAACCCCTAACCCCTATAGCCAAGTCTAATTTAGTTTGCTTCTCTTCCCTTATTGCAATTAAAAGACCGTGTTCCTTGTGATAAGATTATGAAAACTTCCTTTAGAGGAAAAAAGAACAAAAATTCAAAAGCATCTGCAACTGAGACAGTTACAGGCTTAAGAGAGGAAGAAGCAAAAAAAAAAAAAAATCCTATCATTCCAGAGCTTAAGACTCTGTGGCAGTGTTCACAACAGAACCTTGTTTTGTCTTCTGTTTGCAACTGGGTGAATTTAATCACTCCATTAAGGGGATTAGTGTCTTTGTCTTCAACCTAAGCTATGGCAGTCCAGGTTAAAAGGCACCCCATATGGTTATGATGTTAAAATACACAGCAATAGGCAGTGAGACATGTGCTACTTGATCCTCTCTAAGGACAGCTAGCTGGGACGAATGAATAGCTTATAGTCATCGGATGTAACGGTGGCAGCTATGCCAAGGCTGAAAGGAATGGGGTTATGGGGTTATGGAGGATCTGTACCATAATTTCACATTACTAACAGCAAACAAGCCACCTGTCCCTGAGTGGGAAGCAGTGCAGACCTGGCTGCTCATCAGTGGTTCATCATTTACTGGGGGGAAGGGGTGGGGGGTGCTAAGGGCTCAGCCTGTGTCAAGGATGCATGACATATATATATATATATATATATATATATATATATGCATGTGTGTGCGTGTGTGTGTGTGTGTATATACACATACATATATATATATATATATATATATATATATGTATATATATATAATCACTAACTCGGCAACTGGAATAGGCACAAAATTACAGCATCCCAAACCCTGCATGGGTCACACGAAGAAACCCCAAAAGCAAAAACTGGAGTGCAGCAGCAGCAGCAGCCTCCCTGGGCAGATGTACTCGAACTGAAAGTGGCCATAGATGGCAGAAGAGGGAAGTGGGAAAACAAGGTTGAAAACTCACAGGAGTTTTCCTTGGCCAAAAGGATTTTCAAGTTAAACAGCAACGCCCACCCCCCACCCCTCTGCCCACCCACTGATCCCCATTCACATGCTCAGGCCCCGTGCCCCTACTCTGGAACTGATGATGACTACTTGGCTAGGTTTCCATTCACAGCAGTGGAGGAGTAGCTGGTGGGGAGAGAGGCACCTTGCTTGGCCCTCTCCTTTGACAGGTCAAGGCTGGAAGGCCCATAGTGAGTGGGCATAGGCTGGGGGGGCACAGGCCGGACCCTGGGCAGCTGAGGAATGCCATGGGTGATGCCGACAGGCTTGGCCTGGGGCAGAGGGCTGGAGCTGAAGCCTCCAGAACTGGAAGAGCAACTGGGCCCATCGACAGGCAGCAGCACATCTCCAGGCCTGGCCCGCATGCTCTGGGAGGCCTGTGGCTGGAGGTTATAGCATGGGCCCATGGGCAGGGGTAGGTGTGAAGGCCGAGCTAGCTGAGGCCCAGTTTCCCTGGGTGCCTTTGGCTCTGGCCCTGGCAATGACAGCGACATTGACGTGGCCACAGAAGGTACACAACAGGTTGCCTGCCCATATGGAGACTGACTGGAAGGCCCATCCAACTGGCCAGGGCTTATCCAGGCAGGACCTGGCCCCACTGGAAGAGGACAGGGGGCCCAGGCGGGCCAATCATAGGCCCCTGGGGGTTCAGTATAGAGGGACAAGGGACTGTCTCGACCCCATTCTCCTTCCTCCTCTTCATCTTCTTCATCTGAATCTTCCTGCTGGGCCTGAAGCTCATCAGACTCCAGGTAGCCCTGCACCAAGTGGGAATTGGAGAGCTCCAGCTCCAGAGTCTCTGCAGTGTCAAGGGAGCGGCTCCTCCTATTGAGGGCCATGGCAGCAGGTGGAGGTCGAGGGTGCATTCCAGGGAGTCCCAAGTATCGAGGGAGGCTGCTCACACCCCAGGGCAGGCCTTGGTAGAATCGGTTGGGGTGGTTGTTGAAAGTATGTTTGTGGTAGCAGCCTAGCCCAAAGGCTTCCAAGGAGGCTGCAAGGTCTTCATCATTGTGGAACTCAGGATTCTCTTCACACTTGCCTTCCCCATCCCGTTCCACATCAGCGATGTCAAAAGTCACCATGGGGGGCAGCTCAGGGAGGTTTTGAGTGAAGGACGAGTCAGAGTCAGAGCTACAGGACATGCTGGAGAAGAGGTTCCCATTGCTGGTGAATTCCACCAAGGCCTGTGAGAAACTCACGGTGGCATTTCCTTCCTTCTCAACCTCCTCTTCCTCTGGCTCCTCAGGAGGTGAGTAAGTAGGGTAGGCCCTCCTGGGAGATCCTCCAAAATTTGCTTCTTGCATGTCTGGCTCAAACATAGCATCACTCTGGAAGAGCTGCATCAGGCAGGTACTTTGATCTTTCTTGGAGCAGGTTCCCTCAAAACGCTTTTCCAGAGGACGGAAGTCTCTCCAGTCCGGTTCGCTGCTCGCAGTGGTGGGGAAAGCTGAGGTGGTTCCTCGGTGAAAAGTCTGAGAGGCCCCTGATGCCCCTGTCACCAGGCCCATCACTGATGGACCCAAGGGCCTCATCTGATACTCCAAAATGGGCTTCTCCTGCCAGGTCTGGGCCTCTCGGACTTGAGCCTCTTGAGCACAAGACTCTCGGGCATGGGCTTCTTGGGTTTGGGCCTCTCTGGCATAGGCCTCCCTGGTGTAAGCCTCTCGGGTATAGGCCTCCCTGGTGTGGGCCTCCCTGGCATGAGCCTCTTGGGCACATGCCTCCCAAGCCTCAAGCTGCTCCCTCCGGAGCTCCCAATATAGCAACTGTTTCTGGATGGTTACTAGCCGTTCTTCCTCTGTCTCCATTGCCCCAGGTGGCCGGAAGGAAGAAAAGGGCTCAAAGTTCAAGAAGGGATCAAATATCTCAGAGCTGCGGCCATGGAGGTCATAAAGGCAGTCATCACCAGGTGGGGAGTTCTCAAGACTGTCATCTGGCTCATAGAACTCATATAGGGCATCTCCACTGTAGCTGTCTCGGGGTAGGCAATCCCTGTGGACAAGTCCCAGGGCCTCACCTGAATCATCCTCAAATCCAGGTGTGGTGGAGTCATAATAACCTTCATCACTATTGGGGGCAGACTCTTGCTGTTCACTTTGAGGAGTCAAAAGTTCCCCAGGGGCTAGGCCAGGATAAGACCGAACTGGGTCAAGGAGCATACAGCCGTGGTGGCCTGGGGATGTAGTGGGATGGTAGCCCAGATTTCGATTGGGCCTTGGGTACATTTGGGCACTTGCCCACATATATTCTAAGTCATCATCTTCTTCCTGCTCCTCCTTAACCTCCTCTTCTTCCTCCTCTAATTCAACCTCCTCTTCCTCCTCTTCTTCCTCCTCCTCCTCATCATCTGGCAAGGCCATCTCCTCCCCACCTCCTTGGTAGGTCACCAGACAGGAACTTCGTTTGGTTCCATCTCGGTTGGCCCTCTGGCCCCCAGAGGCCATGCTATCTGTCATACTGTCCATGTCCTGTTCTGCTATAATGTCACCACAACCTGTCAGTGAGTCAAAGCTTTTCAGGGATGTGACATCCCCAAACAGGAGGCTCAGCTGGTCCCCTACTGGGCCACTGGGGCGATTTACCTCTCCTGCCACTACCTTCTCCCCTATTTCTGGGCTATGGGGCTCCTCTGGACTACTGGCTTCAGGGGCGGGCTTGGGCTGCAGGAGTGCTGAGGCACAGGCCTCTGTGGGATTTTCTGGATCTTTACAGGCTATCTTCTCAGTAGCTGATGGAGAAGGCTCTGGTGCTGGAGAAACTTTTGGCCCAGGGGCATCTTGGGGTTTGGCATTTTCCTTTCTAGGGCATTGGAAGGTCTCCTCAGAGTGGGGCACCTGAGGAGCTGAGCTCACATGCTCATGAGGCCTGGCTCTGGCCTCTTCAGGCCCCTTGGTCCCTGGATCACTTTGCTCAGCCCCAACAACCTTGCTTTTCCGGTGACGGCGGATACTGCTAAAAAAGCCTCTTAGGCCTTTCTTTGGCTTGGGCACAGAGGGAACCTTCTCAGCCCCAGCTTTCTCTGTGGCTCCAGCCACAGACGTCTTACATCTGGAGCCTGTCTCCAAAGCCCCGTGGGCACTCTGGGAGCTGGGAAATCGGCAGGGTGACTCAGGCAAATGTAGGGAGAAGCCGGCTCCTTCACTGACAACATCTTCAGGGCCACAGGCTGCTTCACTCAGGCCATCATGGGTCCTGCTCTTGCTGAGACCTTTCTTGGAGCTGACTTTCCCAGAACCTTTACTTCGTCCCCCTCCAAAGAAACTAGGCAGAGTACAGATACCCTTCTTGCCACCAAAGAGTTTCATGGCCGTTTTCTTCAGCCTACCTGGGCCAGATGAAAACGGCTCTGGTGTTGGTCCTTCTGTCACCTCAGGTGCCTTGTTCTTGGTTCCTTTTTCTGCCCCTTGGTCACGGGTATCCCCAGAGGCTGCGGCTCCCTTAACCTGAGTAGCTTCATCTTTTTGGGTCTCCATGGTGATGGGGGCTACTCAGGTACAGTCAGCTGGAAATGCAGCCTCAGGCTTGCAGGCACTGTTATAACATTACCAGTCAGGAAGCATCACAGTGGGGTCTGTAGGAGACAAGAGAGACAGAGACAGAGAGACAGATACTGGTGAGCAAGCATCCAGGCTGGGTTTGTTTTCACAGGTGTTGAGTGGAACCAGAGAGAAAGTAAGGGAAAATGTGGGGAAAACCTTAATCCACTCCATATGCTTGGCTTGCTGGGCCAGCCCCCTCTGTGCCCCAAGGCAGCGAAACTCTACATTGAGCAACAGGCAGCCATTAGCCCCCACCTCCTTGCTGGGTCCACTCCCTTCAAGCCACCCTAAGCTCAGGGGAACACTGGCCAGGGGGACCTGCAGATGTGTGAAAGGTCCAGTGGTGCTATTGGCTGCAGGAGTGATTATCGATCATCAAAGTGGGTGGGGATAGAGAGAGGCAGGAAAGGCAAGAGGGAGGTCAGCTCTAACAGCTCAGAATTTCTGAAATGCATCAGCCCACTGAGTCCTTGCTGGGTTCTACTGGATTCAGGCCTCAACTTCACATTACCCTGGGCTCTCACTGGCATATTTCCTGGGGCTGGGAAGAGAAGTAGGCCTGAAGTTTCACCTCCTGTCCACAGGCTTCCTAAATCACCTGCAGAACCAGGCTCAGACCTTCACAACCTCAGAGTAGGAACCTCGTGGAGCCGCAGAGCAGGGCTGCAATCCAGGACCTGCTGAAGATGACGCAGGAGCCTTAGGAAAGGAGACTCTCTGGGCTCCAGTATCCATCATCCAAGAGGCCCATAAGCAGGTCCCCTCATAAAGGTTATGTGAGGGGTGGGTCTAGGTGAGACTCTCTATTGACTGTCCTGCTGGAAAGAGATTTTAATGTGACCCTCAGCAACTGGAACCCCCAAATTCCACTTTAGAACCCTGATGCAGACTGTTTCTCCTCTATTCTCCTCCTCTTATTATTTTGGCTCCCATCTAGCTCCCTATCTAGGAAGGGAATTCCTTGAAAGCCCTACATGATTCTTCTTCCTGGCCTAGGAGATAAGCTCTTAACAGCTATTTAAATAAATAAACCTGGTATAAGCCACACCCTTCTGGTCTAGGCTCCCAGTTGTCCAAACACTCAAATGCCAACAGAAATGGAATAAGAAGAAGAGCTAAGCACTACTCACCCCAACGCACCTCCCTCACCCCAGATCTGGCGTATTCCAGTGACCACAGCTGGTCGACCGCTGGATCAGTGACCAGCCCACTCAAACCCAATAACCCCTTCATGGACAATGTGTCCCCTTTCTACAGAGTAGACACCAGCAGACAGGTGATCTAGAGGAGAGAGGGGGAGGAGGAGGGAGAGGGAGAGGGAGGGAGGAAGGGAGAGGGAGGGGTGAGGCAAGCACCACTGCATCCTGCGTTGGTTAGGGAGCAGCTGGCCAGCACGCCAGCCCTGTGATTGGTTGCCACAGTAATAAGTTTCATGCATTCACCTGCAGTGGAAGACTGTGGACCAGCACTGGGGGTGGAGAGAGGCTGGCAGCTACACTCTAGCCTCTGACCTCATTAGAGGAGCCCCTCCTGGAGCCCCCAATCCTGTCTTGCAAACACTAATTTTGTCCCTTGTATCTTGCTTGGCTTGATACTTGAATCATCAGTGAGATCCAAGCTTCCATCAAGAGCACTCTGCAGAACTGAATATTAAAATTGGAACAAGATAATGCCTGGTTATCCAGAAAAGTAAAGGTGAGGGAAGCTGATCTGATCCCCTCTCTGTGAGATCTGCATTACAATTTGCTCAGGTTAGGGGTTTTTCTGTGTGACATATTTTGACATCACACTGTTCCAACTCAGCCCTGCAACTGATAGTCCCACAATAGACAGCACCCCCTCCAACTCCCAAACACACACACACACACACACACACACAATCACCCAGAGTCTGATGAGAATAGGGGCTCTATCCATCTATCTGAATGCCCCACTTTCCATAGCACAGATGTTTTCACCTCAGACCTGAAATTACTGCCAGGGTTGTCATTACGGTGTTGGGGATGGGGAAGCTGGGATGGCACTGGTGGAGTTGTTTGTGAAACTGTATTCACCTCTATGGAATTCAGCACTGCAGGGCAAGCCAAGAAGGGGAAACCCCCAGCCCTTGCTTTTAGGGAGCGCCTAGGCTAATAGGGAGAGTCCTATATGTAACAGTCTGAAGGTCCAACATGATACAGGCCTTGAAGAATAGCCTCTGTTATTTCTTAAGCTGAGTGGTGGGGTATCATTCTTTATACCTTGTTAACATATCCCCAGATAAATGTGAAAGGCAGAAAAACACCCTCTGGGCTCTGAAAAGCTGCCTTGAGGAGGACACATTCAGTCTGGGCCTTCTCAGGCCATAGGGAGTGGAAATGGCAATGAATTAAAGGAAGGGGTAGGTGAGGCTAGTAAGTATGGCTGGGCCTCAAAGAAGACCCAAGGGCAAAGTGAAAAAGTTTATGGGCCTAGACATCCTTGTGAATCAAAGGCTGCTTGTCCTGTTGGGTTTGGGACTAGAGTTCCTGGGAACAGAGGGATTAGGCAAATTGAATCACAAAGATGGCTGTTTTCCAGAACCTTGATGCCCCAGCTGGAGGGCAGTCCCTTTGGGCCTTCTCTTGCCCTAGCTCCTGTGCTCCCTGGGGGTAGAAGCCAGCCTACCCACTGCTCTCTATACTGTCCCTTTCCCTGCCACCGGCAGCCACAGTGTATTATGGAAGGAGCCATGGGCCACAGGGATGGGGTCCAGACCTTGCCAGTCTCCCATTTGCCAAGGGACCCAGAACTGGCCAAAGTAGTCCACTGAGCCTTAGGTACTTGTGAGCTATTTTGAGATCAAAACAGCTCCTCTACCTATCCCCCTACCTCATCAGTCCAATTGCAGTGGTGTGAGGATTAGATGCAACAATAGGCACCAAAAAGCACTTTGTATGCTGTAAAGTACAGTGCAGATGAGAAACATTGGCATTACTGTTATTATTACTCCTTCCAGATCAGATCCCAGTTTCTTAGGAAGCAGCAGACCATGTGTAAAAGGCTGCTCATTTGGGAATGCCATTCGCTGTGGGGAGCTGTGGGACTAGCTGCCTTAGCCCATGCTGAGGGCTGAGGGAGAGCCAGGAGGGGATTTTAAAGACATGTGTAGATTTATACAAAGTGCTCTGCTACAAGCAGTTTAAAAGCCCTCTGTGTGTGTGGTGGGCGTGGATGACATAGGCAGGGTGGTATCCATGGGATGTAGCTCCTCTCCCCCTAGTTCAGGCCTTCCTCCTAACTAAGCCCAGGGTCATCTTTGTCGGCGAGGACCAGCTTTGAAACTGGACTGTCTCTCACCTCCCTGTCTTGTCCTGCCCAGAGCCATGTACCCCTGCAGCCATTCATAATGTCTCTGCCTGTGTCCTCCAGGACACTAGGAAGGAGGGTAGCATGAGTCTCCTATAGCTGGCAGTCCCCTAGCCTAGCCCCACCTAGCTACCTCCGCCCCGGGCCTCTTCTCCATACTCCTTGCTACTACACCAGGTCCCAAAGTTATCCTTTTTCAGTGGACTATGCTGCCTTTACTTAGGACCACAAGAGTTCACCAAGTGTAGGTGGGGCAGAAAGCAAAAGGGACGACAAGGGACAGATTCTGCAGCTACCCTAGGCTGGGGCTGGTTTCTTTCAGGGTTGTTGCCAAGAAAGTGGAACTGTTAAATGCAGGGTCCTTTAACCCTCAGGTTTCCCAACCCGTGTATCTGTCTAAGTTTCAGGCAGAGTGGGGGAAAGGGAAGCTTCCCAAGCTACTCTGCAGTCCCCAGCAGGGGCCATTTGCTGCAGCTGCTGCTAGCATGGTAAGGGACTAGGTTGTGGTAGAAAGCAGTGGGGCAATCCCAGCTCCCAGGGCCAGCCTCAGGCCATTCTGGGATCAGTGGAAGGCCGGCTACAAGGGTAGAGCTGCTTCTTTTTCCCCACCACTCAAAAAACAGGCAGGAGACCAGTCAGAAACCTGCCCCAGAGACACTTCTAGGGGAGGAGGAGATGGCTGGAGCTTGAGCCTTGAACATTCTGCTCTGGGGCCAGCTCAGCTAACTTAGAGAAGGCTGAGTTCAGGAAAGAAAGAGAAGTGTGTAGATTTACACAGTAGTTCCAGTGGCATGGCCTTGACCAGCCACAGAACCTTGGGCCCATTCCAAGCAGTGTTCTTGGAGGCAGTCCCATTCCGGGCCCACTTGCCCTTCTGTATGTTGTAGGGGGAGGGCAGGTGAGGAAGCAGTGGTGAAGATGGGGTGTCCACACCTTCCCCACCCCAGAGAGCCAGCCAGTTCTGCAGTGGAATCAGCTCTGCCCAGATGGGGGAAATCCAGCAAGTGATTTCATAGGTTTATACCTCAGTTTCCTCAACTGTAAAATGATGCTCTTGAGAGTATCTACCAAAGTACCAAATAAAATGCATTACATAGCAGAAGCTCAAAACATTATAGCAACTAACTTTTATTAATATTTTATTCAAACCATGGTTGGACAATTTCTAGCAGTAAAACCACCTCAATCAAGGTTGAGTAGGGTGCTCCCCAGGGCTCTATGGGTAAGTCACCAAATCTCCATGGGCCTCACTTCCCCAAAATGGTAAATGAAGGTGGCTGTGTGATCATCTCACAGGAAGTTTTATTTGCTCACTTTGCCAACTTTTGATATTCAGGGACCCAAAAGAGTCAGCTACTGGCTAACAGCTCTGGAGTATCTGGGAATTTCAACCAGCTAGGTTCTTTAGCCCAGGCCAGAAAGGTCAAAAATTCAAACTCAGCTAAAAGTACTAACATCAAAGAAAACGCAAATCAACAGATATCCTTCACCCACTGAGGGCATTTGCCAGTTTACAAAGCACTCCACACTCCCTCAACCCTGATTTGCCCTTCCCAGCAACACATGAATCGGGGCTGGTCGGGGATGGTAACTTCTTGTCACAGAGA